AGTTTTTCAGCGCAACGCTACCGAAAGCAAGCCTGTCTTTATTTACTTTACATACACATATAACAACGCTTATACTATGACTTTTTTTAGTACTAAATACTGCAGTCACTTATTTTTATCTCTACTTATATGGACGTATGAAAACGTATAAATTTAATAAAACATAATATTATAATAATTAAAATAATTCAAGCTTAGTGCTTATTGTTTAATAAACAGGCGAAGACACTCTCCCTAACTAGTAAAAAATAAGCCATCTGATTAAAGCTATGGCTCTATGACAGGATAATCCGTGTCTGGATTTTGTAGAGTTTAATTTACAGTAATTAAAGGTAATCGCCGCGGTGCAGTGGGATTGTATGCTTTTAAGATAAATGGAAAGGGAATGAATTCTATTCTTATTTGAGGCAAATGATTATAGGCACGGCGCCGTGTGCTTGTAATAAAAAAAGCTGAATTTCAAATGCAAAGCGAGACGTTTTCTAGGTCAAAAACAAATTTTAGAAAAACATCTCTTTCTTCCATATCACTTGTTCTAAAACAAAGTTTCTAGGTGTCAAACGAAGCAATATTCAAAATTGTTTCTTAACTTTTATACTAAAGTTTAAAAGGCACAGGTGGGACAGGTGTGGGTGTAATTTGAACAGTTTCCTAAGTAGGAAGCAGTTCTACTCGACCGGACGTAAGTTCCAGCTTCCGACCCATTTTCCGTTTCATGCAATTGATTCCGGTACACCGATGTTCGAGGATATTCTTTCGAACAGTTCCATTTTCACGTCGTCCCATGTTATTGCGAACACAGAATATTACGGCGGAGTGTCCTCATTTTTATTTGTGGGCCTAACAAGAAATACAATTCAGCATTGTTCGGCTTGAAAGGACCAAAAGTAACAGAATACGTTACAGAGATGGGCCTTTTGTGTTACGTAAGCATTTTATTATGCAGTTTGCGCGAGTAGAGACTAGTGGCCAAACTGCGACGAGATGACATCGGCCATACAATGAGTGCGACTACACTGTGTAAATGTTTTTTGTTAATATATAGTTTAGTGTTAAAGCTTTAAATAGTGCACTTTATGTTGGCAGCTTTTATTCATGGGGGAAAACTTATGAGCGCATAAAATTTGTCGTGCTATGTTGGTATTTTAGTGAATGTTGTGTAGTAAAGTTTATTGCGAGAGTAGAATATAACAATAAATCGTCAATAACCTCGAAAAGGTGAATAATAATAATAGTAAAGATTTTTTTTTTAATAAAGAGCATAATATGAAATCACTAGATAGATTCTACTCCATTTTAACAAGCAAAAATTCAAATTGGGCCTTTGTCACAATGGCTTAAATTAACACATGAAATAGTAAAAGTACATAATATAAGATGGAAATTAATGTTATTCGGGAGTTGAGTATTTTATATGTTAATCCAATTGAGGAGGAAATTATTTTACTAAACATACGTCAGCAAATTGAGTTTAGCTTGAAAATAAATGTTTTATATATAAAGAATGTTTATAATTTAAATAAAGCTATCTTTTAGGATATATCCACGGATTTATTTTAATTTTTGGTTCTCGACGTTTTGAATGCCACGGTCACGTGAGAGGCATGATTGCTGTAAAGCATTGGAAACGTCGCGAACCAAAAATCAAAATAAGTCCGCCAAAAAATCCGAAAAGAGATTTTAATTTAAAATGTTAAATATTCCCCTAAATCTAAGAAAATATTGAGAATGTATATAACTTGTATATAGCACAAAGTATCATCAGCTAGTCTATGTAGCAACACGGCACAGTGTCGCGACATATAATATGTATAAGGTCCAGTCCCCCGCAAGGTGTCCCTCTACACGTACGTTCCGTCGCGACGGCGACCCTGAACACTGCCATTTTCGACTCGAGCAAACTTCAGCGCAGCGAAAACAAAGAAAATGTGAATCCGAAACTTCTCAACTTTTCCGAGAAAAACATTCTCAAAGGTAACAGTTGTTAGTTCAAAGAACGGCTGAGGTGAAGTCAGCTTTTGAAACAATTCGCGTAGGAATTACAATTTTCTTGGGTCTTGGATCTCAAATTACAAAAGGTTTGATTGTAAAAGTTGGATAGTTTTATCTTATTGTAGGAAAACAATATTAGTAGTGTTGGTTTTAATTTACTTTTATTATTGATCGATTTTCGCTTTCTGTAAACTTTTGAAAATTGGTGAATTGCAAACGACAAGAAAGAAGTACCTTAATTATAATAGAAAAAGATAAAAGTCTATCCTACAGGAACCGCACATTTTCCGGGATAAAAATAGACTATGTGCTATTCCAAACTTTAATCTATCTCTGTGACAAATTTCATCCAGATCTGTTCAGCCGTTTTGGCGTCATTGAATAACAAATATCCATCCAAACATCTAAACTTTCACATTTTCTAATATTAGTAAAATATTTTATTTAATTATAGTAGTATTAAGAAATTAGAAGAAAATAAGTGCAATAGTTTTGAAAGTTACGAAATAAACTATATTCGTACATTCAATGTAAAATTCTGACACTTTTCTTAATTCCCTGCAGGACTGGGCGCAGCTCGACGACAAGCTTACGACAAACATAAAAGTATAGAGAATATCGTCGCTAACAAAATGACGGTACGGCGAAGTAATAGCAATTAGTGGAGCTCTGAAGCGCTCTGTTTGAACTTTCGAGGACTTACTATGTAGGAATTTGAGTCACCTGGTAATTAATGATGGCCTCATCACACCACCCTGTATATTATCACTACCCTGTTCCCAAACCCTCCCCCACCCCCTTCCCTCCCTTCACAGTTTCGTCATTTATCGGTAACATCAATGTTTCTCCTAATCTGGCCGATTATTTCCTTCCGATTCGCTTCATGTTTCGAGTCGCGTCGTATTATTATATGGGGCGTGTGACGCGATAGCGAGTAGGTCTATCTTGTATTTTTATGATAGGACGCTTTTATTGTTACAGATTGGGATGTATTTGTTGAACAAGGGTTACGATTCATAAAAGTATATGATTTATGGCATTTTTAAATGGAAATGGTATATGGTTATTATTAAAATGTTCTCATCTCTATCGAGAATTGTGGGTAGAATAACATTTTGCAATAATGTTTGAACATCATTTACATATATACAAATATTTGAAAGATGTATCATTTGGAAGAATTAGCAGCTTAAAGTTGAACTTTAAACTTTTTAAGCAGATATTTTAGCTTTAATACGAATTTCGTTACTGTGCAACTAATAAATAATCTAAAAAGTTTTGGTTTCCTGAGGCAGTGTAATAGAGTTTATTTACTTTGTCAAGCCCTTTAAATATCAAAGCAATAACCTTATATGTATACCAATTTGTAAGACAAGCTTCCACAATTAAGCTCCATTTTATTAAGCAAATGATGTTAAGCTACCAACACGCGGATATCCATTAGAGACGAACTAAAGTTTCACTATTTAGTGGAAAAACGTTTGCACGGCAGTTAATGAGGGCGTTCCTCGCGGAGTGAGAGGAAATGGCTGTAATGGCCGCGGATAAGACGCACCTCGCTAACTAGATACATCCATTATGTGAAATTAAACGTGGGGCGGAATGAAAGGCGGACAAATGTTGCTATTAAAGCTATGATCGTTGCTTTTCTATAGTACTAGTGATCCGCTCTTACTTCGCTCGTAGAAAATAATATGACTTTTCGGTAATAACTTATTCTGTTAGTTATTAGATTGTTAGGGTTGTTTTTGACCGGTTTTTAAAAAGCAGCAGGAACCTAATTTTTGTATGTTTGTTACTCGTTATATTTGTCAATTGTGAACTAAATTTCGTGATTATATAATACTGGCAACTCACCCTCGCTTCGCTCTATACAAACTTTCATCTAAATTTTCACCCTCTTAAGTGTTTGTACTGAATAAACCACTGAATCGATTTAGGTGGGTAAAAAGATAGTTTGAGATCCTGGGAAGGACATAGGATAGTTTTTAATCCCGGAAATTATCCCTTAAGGTGGTGAAAATGGGGATGAAATGTTGTACAGGGAAGCAACCTAGGGATGAACCCGAATGAAGTGAGGGTGAGTCACTGGTCCCATATATATTTAAAAAAATTTGGTCACTGAGAATAGAATGATTATTTTGGTTTGTTAAGTGGCTTTTAAATCGTTGTACGAGTATATTTTTATTAAAAAAGTAATTAAAGTGATATTAATTATATTAAAATAGTTTAATATTTTTTCTAAAATAACTCTATGAACTAAGTAGTTTGAGCCGTAAGTGAACGTTAGTTTAACATAAACTCGGGCACTTTGTATCTCTCTGAAAGTTTTCCTAAAATATTTGCGTCCGTGGCATTAAATGCTTGAACGTTTTACGAGTTGCCGTAGAGAGGTGGAATTACTCATCGCTACTGAACTAGAATTTTGCTCTTATTTTATGACGATCTAATGCCGAAGTCTTTGCGCGAAAGATTTATTTTATTTTCGCGAGAGAGACATAACAACAACCATGGGAAATTTGTAAAGCTCATTATCAATTTCATTACGAATAGGGAAACAAGAATTTGTATATAACTTTTTTATCATTTATACCTACATATTATAATAAAATTGTAACTAAGCCGAATCTGTACATTAAATATTTTTTGGAAAATCTAATTGAAATAGACATTATTATCGATACAGAGGCCGAATCTATAGTTTTTAGAATTTTTGTCTGTCTGTTTGTTTGTTACCGCATCACAGGAAAATTACCGGAAGGATTTTGATGAAATTTGGTATGGTGATAGCTGGTTATCCGGGTCAACATATAGGATACTTTTTACCGTCGTAAAATGTCTCATTTCTGAGAAAAAATACAAAAACTGCAATGTAAGAGTATACTAATATGTCAAACCTAAGAATTTGGTTTTTGGTCATCTGAACGCGGGCGGAGCTGCGGGCAATGCTAGTAAAGTATAGTATTTTTAGATCATCGATTAAACTCGTGTGTGTATGTGTGCGTCACCTGCGAACATGTCGGGTGTCGGCGCGCGGAAGCGGTGGTGTCTCGGCGCGGCGCCGGCGCGGTGCAGCTGCGGCAGCAGGTGCAGCCACAGCGCCAGCTTGTGCCCGCGGTAGTGGCTCTTCACGCGCAGCTTCGACCCTGCCGGGACGTGCGCGTGCGCTTTATTACACACTTCCCATCGACCGAAAGAGCACTAGATACACAATCCCATGCAAAAGTTCTCTTCAAGGTGTCACCGATTGTGTTTACGTAATTATTCTACTTGAAATAAATATACAACTCAACGTAAACTCAACTATAAATGCTATGCTTAAAGTTGTTTTTACTAAAAAAACTTGCACTGAAATGTTCAAATGAGCATTCATTCGGTGAGAATATTTTTTGTCGTCGTTTTTGTATCTAATACTTTTTAATCGATGTGACTTCTCCTCGTTTCACTCGAGTACAGTCTCCGGCTACCCCACAGCTTATATTACTCCAGCTCAAACTATTTTCGATACTTTTCATTCAAATCCAGTCCACCCGTTACACACACACATACAAATATACAGACTTTCGCAATTATAATAGTAATTTAAGTCAAAAAAAACTTTTGCAAGCACTTGAACCGATAATTTTTACCATTTATTAGAAATTATGTCTGTATGAAGGTCGTGAGAAAACCTTGTGGCTTACTCGGTTTTCATATGTTATATCATACTTTTACATATATTTTTTTATTTAGAAGCTTCATCAACTTCAAAATAACCATAAAAGTGAAGACACACAAAAAAAACAAATTATCAATTGGAGTACCACCTCCTTTTTGAAAGTCGGTCCAAATAATACTCCTAACTGTAATTTCATGTTGAAATCTGAACCCGGAATATAAGGTCACTGGACCCTTCGTATAATAATAATTTGCTTTAGATTGCTCGAAATACACAAGTACAAGACGATACAATTTATTGTTTAACTTTGATATTTGCATGTACTTACTACGTCTTTAGTTAATTCTGACTAGTATTACTTCTACGAACAACAATATTATTCGAATATACTTTTACAAGGACTTATAAAATGCGATTACCAGAAAATTATAAATTATATCTTCATTACTTTTAGTTTTTTTGTGTGTACATATATTTGTACTCATATATTTGCATTATTTTTCTTCAAATAGAACCATATAAAGTAATAAGAAATATATTTCTAACTAATTTTATTATGCTTCCAAATTTTCCCGCTGTCTTCTATGCTGATACTATTTAATTGAGCAACAGTATAGTTAATGTTAGAGTATATTTAATGATGTATAACGTAATTACTTTTAATATTATTTAAAAAAAAATAATGCTAGGTTTTAAGGTTTGTGTTTCTCATATTCACTAATTCTAAAAGTCTAGCTCTATTTAAAAAAAACACGATTAAACAGTAACCGCAAACCAAAACTTAACGTGACAAATGTTCTACTGGATAGATTAATTTATCTATTTAATACTAACCTATACTCAAGTATTGCTGCGTGTTCAGGTCGTACCGCGGCCAGGCGGGGGGGTCGCGTGGGGGGTCGCGCGGGGGGTCGCGCGGGGGGTCGCGCGGGGGGTCCCCGGGCGAGGGGTCCCCCGTCTTGGCGAAGGCGGCGAGCAGCGAGACGGCGGTGTCGGCGACGGCGGCGTCCGCGCGCGAGTAGTTGCCGGCCAGCAGCGGCAGCCCCAGGAAGTACGGCAGCGTGTCGCTCGTCACGCTGCCCAGCCGCTGCGGGAAACCATAAGTAGATAAACACTTCAGAGCACACTGGCTAAATCCATCTCCGTGCCGTGACTGAGCGTCCGTGGGCGCGGTACCTGCGGGTAGTCGGGCGAGCGCGCGGCGTGCGCGAAGTGCGCGAGGAAGGTGCGCGCGCCGCGCGCGGCGTGCAGCGCGGCGAGGCGCAGCGCGGGCGCCGCCGCCGCCGCGTCGCTGAGCGCCTCCAGCGTGGCGTCGCGGATGTTGATGGGGTGCTGGATGGGCTTCTCCCAGTCCGTGTACTCGTTGCGGACCGCCGCGAAGATCTCGTTGCGGTGCCAGCGGTACACGTTGCGCACGTACGTGCGGAGGATGCGGCTCCTGTCTCGGGAGGATGTCGAGTTGTGAGTTCGGGTAAAACTACTGATCATTTTTCTTTCAATGACAAAAATCTCCATTACTACCGAATATTAAAAGTTTTTTTTTTATTTAGACAAAGATGTGTTTAAATACAACTCGGCGCACTTGACCGAAACGAGGAAAAATCATTAATAGTAAATGAAATCAACACCACATTTTGTCTTATTTTATACTGTACAAAAAACTAACCTATGCTCCTCCTCGAAGCCGTGTCTGATCTCGTCTTCGTTGAAGAAGTGATAGCTCTCAGTGGTCGCCACCACCACCGCCAGCGCGCAGTTCAGGAACACCTCGCTGGCGTGCAGCGCACGCGCCGCGCCCCCCGGGCCCCCCGCAGGCCCCCCTGCGCCCCCCGCGCCGGCCGGGCCCCCCGGGGCCCCCGCGCCCCACACGTCGCGCGCGGGCAGCGAGGGCGCCCAGCCCGCCAGGAAGCGCGCGCGGGGAGGCTCCACAGCGAGCAGCGCCGCCAGCGGACGCGACCGGATACATTCTGTGAGCCTGGGTGTAATGGTGTTTTGTAGGATTTGTAGACTATATAAGCTTTTTATAATATAATTTAGTTATACTCTCACTCCTGTCGTATGTCAGATTTAACTAACTAAATTTCTTTACCTATCGATGAGAGCTTTAACATAGGACAACTGCTATGGAATTTGATGAGTATGAACAAAATTACATTTTTTCATGTCAGTTAACAATTGATTTCCCAGAAACTAAGCACGGAGGCGTTTTTGTTTTAATATCAGCATTTGATTGCTAAAATATGTTAGTATGCTGTCGTATGCCTGCCTGCTAAAGTTCCTGGCAAGAAATCATGGAGCATCGTAGTGCATAAGATATCAGCATACTCGTATGTATAATAAATAAAAAATGCTATTGGCAAGCACGTATCTTAAAAACGGCTGGGATGATTTAGCAATTATTGAAATACTCATAATGGTTCTAAAGTTTTTAGGGAAGATTTGGAAAGAGTCGAATGAAAAACCGGGAAAATCAGGGAACGTGAGAACATGAGGTACCAGTGGTCGCCGTCGCGTGCGCAGCGCAGCGCCCGCGCCGCGTGCTCGCGCGCCAGCGCCGCGTCCGGCGCCAGCGACGACGCGCTCAGCGCCGACCCGCTCAGCAGCAGCGCGCGCGTCACCAGCCCTGGGGGAGGGCGTCTATTTAGCTATACTCGGATTATAATCATTTAGCCCTCGGACCAAATTACTGAACTACTCTAATTGTGTAAATACGCCTCCTTTAGTCAAAATTATGTTTTTGAACCATTCCCTGTAAAAACTCTTGGCCTATGGAGTCAAAGTGCTAAGCACTTAAAAGACATAACACCTCGTCTTGTCGCCTCTATTTGTGACAGGAAAGCTGGCTCATTTTTTGCCCAGATATACGGTTACCATTCAGCGGGGGAATGTGACTAGTAATCTTGTTATTATTCATCATCATTAAATTTACATTTGTTGTGTATAATAAGTTTATTTGTAATGTTTTATTAGACTATTTAACGTTTCACTGTTAAGCACCGTTCTTCCCTTAACACGAGAGAGATCAGGCCACAGTCCCCACGCCGGCGTACCTCTGGCGAGCGGCAGCATGAGCAGCAGGTTGGCGAGCGCGGCGGCGTGCGCGTGCGCGGCGAGCGTGAGGCGCGCGGGGTCGCCGCCGAAGGCCGCCACGTTGCGGCGCGCCCAGCGCAGCGCCGCCGCCACGTCCAGCGCCGCCGCGCCGCCCCAGCGCGCCGCCTCGTCGCCCGCCGCGCCCGACGTCAGGTACCCTGCACCCCACACCCACACGCCCAGTCAGCTCGACCGATTTACTACACATTTTTACTTTAACTTTCAATTTCGAAATTATACACTATGAAAATGAATATTTCTGAGAACCCGCACACACACAGTATTTTTTATTAAATGTATATATGCATATAAGATAGTTTTTGTTTTATATATTCATACATCCGTTTTAACAAATAAAACTTTAATGTGTTGCAGAAACAACATTTCAAATTTTATCAAATGGAAAATTAACTGCATTAACGACAACTAAACTAAAACACTAAACACAATATGAAGTACATAAATCATATAATAAATTTAATTAAATATAGTACGTATAGCATGTATGTACTCGCATGTCCACCGTCGGGCACTCACCCAGCAGGCCCACCCTGTAGTTGAGCGTGACGACGAGCAGGCGGCCGCGCGCCGCGAGCGCCGCGCCGTCCAGCGCGTTGCCGGAGCCCCACTCGTGCGCCGCGCCCGCCCACACCACCACCGCGTACGGCGCCTCCACGCCGCGCGCGCCTGCGCCACGCACACCTCGTATTATTGTTACTATTTTATAATAATACTAGCGGACCCGACAGACGTTGTCCTGTCTACACGTCTTTAATTTGAAAATTTCAAACTTTTTTTAATAATTTTTTTGATGAAAATTATTATTCAAATTGTGAATCTAAACCATTCCCAGATCCCCTTGAACACACACAAAAATTTTTATCAAAATCAAAGAAGTTCAGTGACATACACACTCACAGAAGAATTATATATATAAAGATAGGTAATATATAAAAAATCACTATTTTAATAATTAATCTGTGCTACATCAAGCTGTCAAATTGACTTTACTTTTTGATGAAACGGTGCATCACTGGATAGTTTTTAAAGAATTGTATTCATAAACCGGAATTAATACGAGTGTTTTTAAAACAAATAAAAACGAAAGAAAGAAAAATATAAAAGAAATTAATACTAAAATTTATTTTTTACAAAAAAATTAGAACCATTTTTAAAAACAAGCTTATATATTGTATAAGTTGTGGTATGTAATAAATGGATTTGATTTAATTTAAATTTTTTTTTAGGTCTTTATTAGTATTTTTCTCATCAAACCCTTTCATTTGATACATAATTTTTATAGTATCAGTTACTTATCTAACCACACATTGTCATCTAAACTAAACGTGTATGCCAAGTATCAGCTCAACCGATTGAGGGTAACTGCTTTAAAATTCAGTTATAAGATTTGACCCGAACAAACACACATACAAACATTGCAAGTTAAATAAAAGCTTGTAAAAAGATAAATATAAAAAAAAAACGATTCAGTGTGGGTTCAGAGTGGGTTTAGAGTTGGTCACTCACCGCTACCGGGCACGTATATGTTGAGGTAGAGGCAGTCCTCGCTCTGGTTGGCGAGCAGCGGGATGGTGGCGCGCAGCTCCTTGTACACGCCCAGCGGCATCTTGGACAGCGCCGCCGTCCTGTTGTGGGGGCGGAGGGTGTACACATATTCTAACATACATTATATAATCTTAAAAGTATTTATTTACAATAAAAGAAATTACAAATAATTATACACAAAACAAATGTTCATTAATTATTACTGCACAAGTCATGTGCGCGTAAAATATTATAGGCAAGATTGCTCACCGCATTCCCCCGCTGCCTATTCTTTGGGCGGAAAACGAGCCAGCTCTCCTTATAATCTTTATATTTAAGTAATCTACGTGTAATTTCAAAATCCCATCAAAAACATTCTGTAAAAATATTGCAAGTCTCGCAACGCATTTCTTCTACCTCAAAAAGCTATGAGATGTAATGTAAAACCAAATCGGTTAATTTATTCATTACCTATCTATGAAAGCATCTATCCGACAACTTTGTCATAAATCGTTACCGAATTAGTTAAGTTACAACATTTTATAGTGACCGTATTAATATTAGATATATTTATTTCTTTAATTAATAGAATGACTTGGCCATCGCACGGAAACATAATCACATAAGAGTCTACTACTTTAAATAGCCCTAATTAAACATATCATGACCAAGGTGGACGGACGACTTGGTCAAAGTCGCTGGAGCCCACTAGATGCGGATGGCACAAGACTGGTTGTCGTGGAACTTTGTGGGAGAGGCCTATGTCCAGCTGTGTGTGTGTGTTTGGGCTGAGATGAACTGAACATAGCACTAGCGGGTCAAATTTATGCCTACACTAACATAAATAATGCACTCAGAACGCTAATTTTAGGTAAATTTTGTTATTTGTAGATTCTATTATCATGTGCGATGGCCAAGTCATTCTATTAATTAAAGAAATAAATATATCTAATATTAATACGGTCACTATAAAATGTTGTAACTTAACTAATTCGGTAACGATTTATGACAAAGTTGTCGGATAGATGCTTTCATAGATAGGTAATGAATAAATTAACCGATTTGGTTTTACATTACATCTCATAGCTTTTTGAGGTAGAAGAAATGCGTTGCGAGACTTGCAATATTTTTACAGAATGTTTTTGATGGGATCTCATTTCTTTTTGTAAATATTTCTTCTTTTTCTCTTTTCTTGTACTATTTCTTGTGTGTCAGCTAAGGACTTTTTAAAAGCCCACTCCTTGTCTCTGTGGGCTTTTTTCAGAGACTTTGATATAGGTAACAAATTTTGACAAGTCTGGATGATAAAAAATCTAAGTCTATTGTATTGGGAAATTACGGACTCCTGGACTTTAATACTACTATCTTATGCATTAAGAATAAATATGTATAGTTAATTTAACGAATATTTAAATTTCATTGTTGACCCTAAATACCTACCCCGATACTGATATTCGACTTACATAAGTTTAATAAGATGTGTAGATTTATGTGTCTATCTGCAGCATCGAAGTTAAATCCCGAAAGTTGTATTCCATTCCATTTTAAAAGTAATTTTCGAAGAGATTGATATTTCATGACCTCTATATTCCATGTTCTAATAGGTGGGTACAATTACGAGCAATGAGATGTTGAGAAGGTTTTCTAATATGGTATGTATTCTATGTTTAATTCATATCAACATCATACTTTGTAAAAGAAAATGTACGAGCTTTGTTTCAAAATTAAGTAATCGTCAAGTTGTTTCTTAATTAGGTATATATTTTAATCAATTCATTATAAATAACAGTAATTGAATATTAGTAGGTATAAACTATACACGCTTCACATTACATTTATGTACCCATTTGTATATGCATAAAAATGTATACAGCTACTAAAAAAGCTTAAAATATTATTTTCGCGTTTAAAAATACTTTTCTAATACATATAATTGCAAATATAAACATTAATAAATAGACCAATCGAAATTAGGTTAGTAATTACGAGGGAACATAGGATCGGACGTACAAACATACATACCTACAGGTAAAACACTAACCTAACCCCCTTTTACAGTGCAACTATTGTATAATTTATTTACCATTAATTATAAATTTTATAAGAATATATGAATGAGGTGAAAAAAATAAAAGTAAGATATCGGGAAATGAAAAAATAATATTTAATTTAAATAATGTAAGGAAAAAATAGTGTAAATTTAATTAAAATATTTTATGATTTTTAAACGAAATTTATATTTGACATAACGGCACAAATTAAGGCAAGCTATGATGAAGTTTATTTATATCAAAATATTTATATTATGTGCTATTTTATTGTGACCTTCTTCTTCTCCCTGCCCATTTCCCAAATCACTTGGGGTCGGCGCAGTACATCTTCAGTGTACTGCTGATAGGATATTATTATTATTATTTAAAAAATACCTAAACCTTCTAGCGTTCCTTGACGTCGTTAAAGTGGAGAAATTGACTAACAAATTAAATACTTAGTGATAACAAACGGAACTCTGAGAAAGATATATTTTAAGTTGGATATTTAAGTTAATAAAATAATATATGAGTTATTCCTGTGTTTTTTTAACATGACTAAACTAAATATTGATAAATACATATTGTATGTATTAGTCAAGTAGAAGACAAACTAACGCTCCGAGGGCTCTGTACTTTTTTTTTTATAGTTGGGAAATCCTATTACGGATACCACCCGAATTCCCCCGGGCGACTCTCGCTACGGAACACACGAGTGTTCGATTACTTGTATATTTTTTTTATATTTAAGATCTTTTATACATATAAGTTTTAATTTATATATTAAATATATTATTTCTTAAAACTCTTTACAATATTGATAATTACATTTTATTCGCTAACACTTACAGTATATCCACTATTTACCCTGCTATACATTTGGGTAGTTTAAGTGACGAAAAATGATATGTATGAACTGCAAAAATAACTTTGTAGTCCCATATATCGCATATCTATTTGTATAGGAATACAAAGTTACTTATGCAGTTTGTATATCTCGAAAACAGGATTGAAATTGCATGATGTTTGAGTTTTTCCTTCCGTTATAGGCTAAACACTAATTGTGTTCAAAATTTGAAGCTCCTATGTCTGCTAGAAGTACCTTAGAATTTTGATGATCGGTGAGTGAGTGAGTGAGTGTGTGAGTGACGATATTAACGAATTTTGATCTGCAACAGTTCTTAAACTACAGGTTCAAATTGAATGTAATTTGGAAATATGCCTAGTTTTATTATGTTCTTTTAGTCACTGAAAATTCAGGCTTCTAGCTTTATCCATAACGAAGTTATTGGGGGGTGGAAAATGCTCTGAATCGCTTCGAGAAAAGGATGGTACTGTCGTGCCCTTTTTTGCTCGACTTGGCGGGGGCACTCCGTGCCCCCCGATGTAAGCTCTCTAGCTACAGCGTGAAGAAATGACAATCATACTCACAAACTTTTGCGGTACATGCACACAAATAGACTTAAAATAACACACTGGTTACTGTTAGGCACCCTAGAATGCCCCCAAGCGAAACCAGGGTAAGCCGTTAGTAATAATATAAACAGTATTTTTTCAAAGAAATCATGAAAGCTATTTTAACGAAAACTATATTCATTATTGGTAACATCAATTGATCTTACATTCGTTCTAGAAGGACGAAATTCTGAACAAAAGATCCTTATGCTGTAAAGAAGTTAAGCACTAAACAACTATATTCTTATCCTCTATGGTATTTAAATAAGATCTTAAAAAGACCATTTAAAAGTTTGTAATTTTTGTAGTTAGAAAATATATGGAAATTGCTGTTTGTTTGTCTTTATATTGCTAATAAGAAATCCCATCGGACTCACTGTTTGTCGTTTATAATACTGTATCAAATTCTGCGAGGTTGTTACACAATTTGAACTAGCTATGCTAACAATATAATAAAATTTAATACATATTTTGGAATATTATTTTTATTTATGGTTATCATTGTGTAGCGAAGTGTATGACACTGCCTTTTTTATGAGTGGTCATGGGTTCAATTCTCATTAAATACAAGTAATTAAAACTAAAATTAATCATTTTTATGGTTGAGTAGACCAAACTTAGAAAGACTTTTTAACCTTACATGTTTGAGTTCCATCCCTAGTATCTAGAAAGTACAGTATTACAATAGGGCAACATATTCCATCATTGACTCATATGCGGGCTATGTATATTGTTATGTTAATAAAATAAATGTAACTTCGATATTAAAAAGAGCAACTGTTGAGTTTCTCGCCGGCTCTTCTCAGCAGAACTGCTTTCCGAGCCGGTGGTAGCTTCCTCACTAACTGACTACACTGACTCTTAAATGAAATTGATGATTCAAAAGTGCTCGTAATAAGTCTAGTTGAATAAAGTAACATTTCATTTCATAAATCACAGCGTTTTTACTAAATTACGTGATATAAGATTAAAATGTTCGGTGAACTCCGAATAAATTAGCGCTCATTACACCAGAAGCGAGCATCGCGCTAATGTTTAATCATCATCAACTTGCAATGTATGTAATATCGATAGAATTGCTTTGACACTATAATTTTCGTTGACATTGAATATAAATATTAAACAAAGTAACGATTATAATGTACTTAAATATATATATTCGTATATTTTGTCAACTAAATTGATATATTGCGGCATTAATTACAAGAGGGTTGTATGGAATAATGTATGTTAATTATGTGTTATCATTAGCGTCATGGAAAATTAGGCATAAAATTAAACGAATAACAAGGCAATTATGTAATAAATGGACACTGAATAAGCTAAAGTATCCGCATCCGCGTGACACACGCCGGGCGCTAATCATGGTTATGTTTGGAAGCATTTGAGTAAACTTAATTATTAAAATTGCATTAAAACATGCTTTTTAGTTCATTTTGAGAAAAAATGTTTTGTTTGTAATTATGTTAGTTGGTTTGTTTATACGTTTTAATAATTTACGTTTAGATTTTGAATCATTTTTAAGAATAATTCTTACATATAACAAAATTAATGAATTTCAATAATCGAATATATTTTTATATAAATTGAATTGAATTTTACAATACTTTATAATTAATTTCAATATATGGCCACTGCCTCTGAAAGCAGTTCAGCTGGAGTTGGAAAGAAGAACACTGTAGAGTGGCTATATAAAAATATTATTTTAGTTTAAAATCATTTGCTTCTTAAAAATACATTAACTTCATTACCATTAACTAAAAGTACCCTAAACCATTAAGATTGTTTATAAATTAAGTCAGTATGGAGTATTGCTCATTCTAGTAAAAGCTAGATGAAGAAATTCGCTCTAAGTCCAAGATTAAAATACACCACAATTAAGATTACAGTATCGATAATTTTTACCTATTAATATTCTAAGAGTACGCTACACTTTCGAGTATTGGTCGAAAATCTAATTCGACCACTCTCAATTTGTGCTTGCGATTCGTCCTGAATAATACAATTTTCATTCTAATGAATAAAATCAATAGCTTACTTGTTGGATATGTCGGGATACCGTTGTGGGCAGACTGGTGCGAAGGTGTCCGCGAGTCTCGTGCCAGACCAGGTGGGCGCGGGCGGCGGCGGGCCCAGCCGCGGCGGCTTGCCGGCGTACGGCACCCCCCGGAACACCTCCACTGGCTCCATACGACGTGATGCTGGCTCCACTATGATTCCTCGGATTGCTCCTGCAATGTTATCTTTTTTTAGCTTTCCTTGACATATTTTAAGGTCGAATGGCATGAAGTAATATGCGGCTACGTATATTAATCTGGATAGATTGAAATGGGCTTGACACGTATAGAAGATATAAGTTGTGAAAATTTTAGCCGATCAGAGGGAATGGATCAAGACCACAAGATTGTTGGTATTCCAAAATGGAGGACAAACGACATGACAAATAATTTAAAGGACCAAGCTCGTAAATGGATGTACATAGCACCGAGCACGATGAATATCATGATAATAATGAAATAGTAAAGAGAATTAAATTTATAAGAATATACTCGTATTATGTATATGTATAATTTATTTCGTCATAAGTTAACATCAATAGATTTTACAGTAACATCTGTTAGAACTTGCCGAGATCTTGATCTGTTCATGATTTCAGATCCAATTACGCACTTTAGCTTTATATTCGATGTACAATTAACTTGCCTCACAGAGAGTCATTTGCATGCCATTGACGGCTGTAATGAGAGTATTGACGCGTCTAACAGACAAATGTAGTGTCAGTTTGGAAGATCGTCAATATTAGTAGATAATGGCCTTGGTAACCGAATAGTAAGTAATAAATCTGGAGCAAGTATCGCACATTCCTTGTTTTAACTTCTCTGATGATCACTGATAGCAGAGGATACTTTTACCTTCTATAGAACCACCAAATATTACACATGATAATGGTCTTCTTGATTTAAATTTTATTCTGATATGATGTCGGCTAACTATTTTAAATCGACAGTTCTGTATTGAGTAAACAAATATAACTACATTTATATTTATCTATATACAAAACGTCTCGCCAATAATGGCGTCGCTGTATGAATGAAGAGGGAGCAAATAACCCAACAAACACATTTTAAATGTATAATATTAAGTAATGATAACATAAATTAAGACTATGTTACAAGTAATTATAATATAAATAACCGCAATATTCCAGAGCTAATTTTAGTCAATAACGTAGTAGCACTAACAACGCAGGTCTCTTGAAACCTGCATGTTTATTAAATTTTCCACAATGTACAGGAAACTTTAAGTAACAAAGTAAATTATAGCGAAGTTGTAGCGTAACAAATTTCAAAGTTTAATTATTACTTCATTTAGGGCATGCAGTTGCGGTTAGTCAGGGGACTGAATGAGGTGGTTTTGATGTGAAGGGCTCTAACTAGTAAATGAGGAGCCGGAGTTTAGGGTTCAATGGTCGCAGCGTACTTTGTACTGGTAATATCGGCCCACAAGTTTCGCACCCTTTTCAACGGGTTTGATGAAGAAAACTGATGGAATGGAAGGGACTGAATAATTTAGCAGTGATTTGGCCACAAGTTTCGTTGAAAATATTTGATAATACATCCCCAGTGCGATAGACATGCGGTATTACATCGCTTTGATTCGCCGACGAGAAAATATATTTGTATTTTTTTGAGGTCAAAGATTTACATTTTCCATTTGGGATTGATAGAAATATATCCAGAAGCTTAGCACATACCATTCGAGATAAAAAGTTTTACATCAAGACTTTTGAAGACTAAATTATAATACACTCTTACACACACATAACGGTACATTAACTGTTCACATATATTTATTTAATATCAGTATTTTATTTTTAAATTTATTTTTAATCTAGGTTACATTAAAAAGTCATTAGATAATATAAAGATTAACATTTCAATATAAACCTAAGAACTCTTTGAATTAGAACTATGATAATATATGACTTATGAACATATTATATGAAAATTGATCAAGTGTAAACAGAAATTGCAGTAAATACGTTACGAGACTGTCGTTTTATGAACCCAAATACCACTATGTATGAGTGTTCGAACATGCCAATGGACATTCTAAATTAGATTTTTAACAAAAGCCTCGCATAACAAACGCTCGTAATGAAATATTATTAATTAACCAAAAAACCCAATTCTCCTTCAACCGGACGCCGGACCATTTCTATAGACGGTCAATCTCATCCAATTACGCAGGAGTGAGGTACCGACAATTATTAATTTGGCCCAACACCCGTGGCTTTGTAATACAAAGCGGGATGACGCCATTCACCTAGAATATTCCGGGATTCCCGCAGATCTCCGTCTGATTGAATTGTCCCGGGATTACGCTAACCCGGGATGTGTTCCGGAAGCATCAAGAACTTACGCGCTAAACGCAGGTATCCGTTCTTTTAATAACTATAGTTAAGTTGTATGCTCTGTTTGGCTTTGCCTTTACGTAAAATAATCTTATTAATATAACACTACTATCTCAAATTGGAAAGTTTGTGTGTATGTTTGTTTACAGATCATATAATACTATACTAGTGCTTGTTACACCTTTTCACTGTAAAGACTGGAGAAATATGGATGAAAAGTAGTACGGAGATAGTACAAAACTTGGAGGACAAACATATATGTGCGTACACACTTTACACACACATACAAATCATGCGCATTTATAAGAAGACATATTATACTTTTTAAATTATAATCAATTACATAATGCTCGTGAAATATGAGTCTGTTAGAAAAAAGTTATATTAGTATTTATACCTACTTGTAAACAACACACTGTATCAAAATTACTGATTGATACATTTCAATAATTACTTTTCCTTGCTAATATCGAAATAACAGAACAGTTTCATATTAAAGTTTTATCTCTGTATAGAAAATTACATTTTATTCTAATCATGTTTTTGTTTACATATTTTTTAATGAAACCAAAAATTTAGTCTCTAGTCTTCTCTAGTCTCTAGTCTCTATAACAAGAACCAAATGTGTTTGTATGTATGTATGTATGTATGTATTCACGAGTATATCGGCGGTGTTTCTACGTAAATTAATGAGGGTAGTTAGAATTGTATTACATATTCATAAAGGCCTGGCGTAGAATTATGTGTATATTATAAACTATGACGGCAAATGTTGAAACGTCGGAAATAATTGCTTCGGTCTACCTATCTAAACACGAGTATGTCAAGTGGTACAAACATAAGTATTCACTTTGAATAATATACTATATATTATACAAGCATTACCGCCCGGCTCTGCCTGCGTCGTTTTAGAATAACAGATTTTCATAAACCCTTATAACCTTTTAAGGTGGTATTCTGAAAAATGATTCCCTTTCTTACCAAAAATAATAATTAGTGACTAAAAGCAATTTAATAGGCAATTGTAGCCCAGTGGTAATGCGCTCGCTTGGGACACCGAGTGAAGCGGGTTCGAATCCTGGGCCTCCTCACTGGTATTCTGGTGTGCGAATCATTTCTAACATGGTTACCATTTGTCGGTGCATGAAAACATTGTAAGGAAACCGATATATAAATTCTGCCAACCCGCACTTAGCCAGTGTGGCGGACTATAGCTTGATCCCCTTCGTATTGATGGGAGGCCCGCGCCCAGCCGAGACACGTTAAACAGGGCTGAATACAAAAGCAGTTTCTTGAATTATAAATTATTATTTAATTTTCACAAGTCTCTATTGTGAAGTCGATCGTACTCTATCATAATACTTTCTTAGATTTACGCGAATGTTTGACACATGGACGAATTAGAGACTGGACCTGACATAAAATACAAATGTATGAAAACTAGTTCAACCAAGTGACGCATAACGCACACAAAGATTTTATTGCATTATTATAAACACTGATACACAATACAATATTTCTAGTGCTTAAACGTAATCGATAAAATACATATTTCGATGAACCAATGAATGACATTTTAGACATTGGTTAGCAATTTTATATATATAGTCATCATATTTTACATCTTTTAATTTAAAATATCTGTATTTATTATAATAAATTAAAATAAATGAATTAAAGAGGCAATAATAATGTGTCAAATAATAATTATTTTTTAATTTGATTTATATAAATACGATGGCATTGATGGCAACATTCTGTTGGCCTATAAGAATGTTAATAAACAAATGAATATCTGGTGTATATTCCATTAATATATAATAAATATTATTTTGTAAAGATTAAAAAAATATGAAGCTTATTTAATTAAATAAAGTGATTTTGTTGATTCTGTTATTGAACTATTTTAATTGGCAATTGATTGTCTCGGGTAGTTATAAAAATGTGACACTGTCCTAATATTGCTCAGTTCTTAATAAACATTTGTGAAATTAGGAAAAAGAAAAAGTGATTGCAAATTGTGAAAAAGTGAGTGTTGGATCAAGAAAGTAAATAATTAGTGCAAGTGGTAAAGTGTTTTATTACAAATCGCCAACCCAGAAGTTTAGTGCTAAAACATTATTGTTTGATTTTGTGTAATTTATGTGTTGAAATAAAAATGATCTTTATTATTATTACAATGGAATAATTATTCCAAAGTATATAAATGTGGTATAAAATAAAAAATTAAGTACACATACTAATTATAATTTTTGCATTTATATTTTTATTTGATTTAGAAAATATTTTTATAAATTTATTGTCATCAGATTGTGGGACACTGTGATAAAAGTATTTTATGTTATTGTACTGTACAAATACCACAATTCGTTCAGTTATTTCGTCAAATATCGACATATTTTTCGACATTGTCAAGCACTAGTCGATGTCAAATGGACTCACTCGACAGTTTTGTCATTTGTTCTGAATGGTATAATCCAGCCCGCTTATGATGGTTGTCAGATGTCAACAATACATAGAAATATCGACTATATTTAACATAGTTGGATAATATGACATTATATTTTACATTTAATTAAATTTTGTGATAAATAACAATAAATGTAATAAAATAATGTATTTACAAGTGAAAAGAAATAGTGCTGCTTCCGCCGTTATAGTTTTTACACCAATTAACAGAACATTTAGTCATTTTTGGGAGATGTTTTGTTGACAAGTAAGTGCTTGAGACTGACACAAAAAACAAACGACCTAGGCTAAAATTCCCTGGTTACTGACATGACCGTTAAAGGTACGTCCGCTTATATGTCTGGTCCAGTGGTTAATTCGTTCATGGTTTGACATTAATAAATAAAACTATCTTTTCGGATTATTTCGCGGATTTATTTTGATTTTTGGTTCCCGACGTTGAAATTTGTTGTTTGAAATTGTAATAATTATAAAAATAATAGCAAAAATTTAATAAATAATATTCCATATTCAATTATAATAAAATTATAAAAATGTTTAAAGTTAAAAAATATTGTAATGTAATTGGTGCAATTTTCATTTTGTTAATTGTGGGTAGGCTGTCTGTAACAACTATACCTTCAAGACATGTAACAACTCAGTCTCTCCCGTGACCATGGATGCTGTAAAGCATTCGAAACGTCGGGAACCAAAAATCAAAATAATTCCGCGAAATAATCCGAAAAGATAGTTTTATTTAATAACGTACTCTATCAAATAAGAATCGGTCCTTCAATATAAAACCTTTTAATTGAAAAAGTAGTGCAACTTAACAACTGTAACCAAAAATCTGAAAAAATAGTTTTATTTATATTCTTTATTGTTTTGTTTTGCACTTATTTATATTCAACGTTCAAACATAATACCATCTATATCTGGTAAAGACGTAGTGTATATCTTACAAAAACTGTTTTATATTACTATAATCACAATTTTAAGAAAAAATAATATTATTTTAGGACAAACTTTTAAAATAATTAATTTTACAGATCTGTGTAATTACTGTTATAAACTATTTAATTTACAGAGTTTAAAATATAATATTTTTGTTAGAAGATTTAGTTTTTTTTTTTTAAATTAGCAGAGCCAATTCTTTAATAGTTCCCACTACCTTACCGTATGTAACTGATTGGTGTTTTATATTAAAGACCACACGGATACATCGAGCCTTAACAAATATTTGTTTAGAAAGGGTTCAAAACCGCAATCTCCAACATAGAAATAGTTATATTGACTACACGAGATAATAAATATGTACAAAAAGTGCATTTTAATTTTTTTTTTAAAACTAATCGACAGATTCTCCTGATTTTAATTAATAGATTATAAACTACTTTACAGTCCCAATACCTGTCTAGACTGTGGTAACAGTGAGGTTTTACCGGCCATTCTCTCATGGCCTGACATTCGCGAAATAGTATATGCTCAACTTTGAAGCCATTAAAAAAAGAGTTGAACCATGAGTATTGTTCAGTGGTAGTCTAGTGGTAACGCGCTCGCTTGGAAAACCAAGTGTAGCGGGTTCAAATCCGAAGATTCATATCTCTGATGCTTTCATGATGCGAATCATGTTTAATATGATTACCGCTTGCCTTACGGTGAAGGAAAACATTGTTAGGAAACCTAGCAAATTTTCGAAAGATATGTGACTATAGCCTGATCCCCCTCGTATTTGCCCGTGCCCAGCAGTGGGACATTAAAATGGGCTGAATCCAGTGAGTAGCATTGGTGTATAGTTCTGTAGGTGGGGTGTGGGGGTACTGACCGGCGTGAGTGTGCACGATGCGCGAGCTGTAGCGCGGGCCGGCCGCCGCCAGCACCGCCAGCGCCAGCGTCGCACACCACGCCGTCCGCGCGCACTCCATGCGCCATCACGCGACGCTTGGCTGTCGACAACGTATTATTCTATATTGATACATCAGAAATATATTATGAACATACGCTTTATAAGGGATAGCTTCCCTTATACATCTTATTAGCTACTTGCGCGTGCAACGTGAAGGTGTAATACACACATACCTATGCATTTATTATAGTATTTTTATGTATTTTAAGAATATAAATAATATTTATTGTTGGTTTAAATCTCTACCGAACAGTTCCGAACAGAAATTACTTAGTCCTGAAAAAAATTAATAATAATAATGAATAAAAAAATAATAACGTTATTAATTCAAGATATATTATCTTCTTGAAATTATGTATAGTACAATAGTCAGCCTAAAAAGGCTTTTTAATTTTTTTTAAAGATTTTTGGACGTTTTTTGGGATCCTATTAAATAACCAAACTTACACGTCAACAACAAACATCATATAAACGAATAAGCTATATGTTTGCCTTACAAGTACCCCTTCTTCCCAATAATAGTTTCTTTTTATATACCACCCTTTATTAATATAAATATGTTGGGGCATTAACACACAACACCGTCTAGTTCCTTGGTACCTAAGTTACGAGGCCTGTATTATGGTTACCAGATAGTTGATACAATACACTTATATATATTTTAATAATAGGTATATATTATAAATAAAAACATCCATGACGAGTACAAATATTCGTGCTCATCATACAAATATTCATTTGTGTGATCAATCATCGTTCAGCGGGACTCGAACCCGCAACCGCCGGCACAGAAAGCAGGGTCACTACAAACTGAGCCAAACGCGTCGTAATATAACTTACGTTTTATTTTGTATCTCTTATTAATAAAAGATTAGCGAGTAGTAACAGTCAAATTATACTTTATAGTGACGTAACTATTTATAAAGTTAAATTAGTTAATTTTGTGTCTTAATCGCTTTTCTTATAGAAACACACTCTGTATAAAAATCTATCACGCATGTTTGATAATGCGATATTTTTTCCGATTTTTATTTTTGGTTCCGTGAAAAGTTCCGAAAAAAATAATTTTAAAGCATATTTGATGTTCTTAATTACCTGATAGTTTTTCTTTTCTTCCTCAGATTATGATAATACCGAATATCCCCCATTCGGTAAATAGATACCTTCTCTCGTATGCTTAGCATCTAATTAGATTATCACGCGCCGATCTATTCGCACGCATTACCGGGATTAATTAACACATTTCTGGATGCACGAAATCGGTGCACTAACGACGGAGCTAATTAAACTGTGGAATAGTAACGGTTGGTAACCTCCGCGAAGTCTTTACGTGTATTGGTAATCGTTTTGTTCCTAATGTTGACTGTCCTTTTTCTTTTAAACTGAAAACTTTGTAAATTATGTATAAACTTACGAGTATTATGTACGCTTTAACGTTTAATATAGATTTCTCAGAGATGAGATATTTTCCTACAGTAAAAAGTATCCTATATGTTGACCCAGATAACCAGATATCATCATACTAAATTTTATTAAAATCTATCCAGTAATTTTCTCGTGATGCGTTCCCAGACAGACAGACAGACAAAAATTTTAAAAAGTATAGATTCGGCCTTTGTATCAATAATAATGACTATTTCAACAAGATTTTCCAAAAAACATATTTAACGTACAGATTCGACTCAGAATTTTATTATATGTATAGATAATTTGTAAGTCCAAAGATGCACGTTGTGTGTTAAAAGATAAAACATGACGATGTAGTGTAAACTACAAAATTAAAAAAAAAATTTGAGTAATGTATCAATTCAAAAGGTTCATCATTCCGAACAAAATTTTTGTAAGAAATGTTAGTAAAGAAAATATACTAATATTGGATATTTCCATATATTACGATATGTGATACTTTATAGTAATATGATCATAATATTGCTTATAAATAAATGATTTTCGAAAACATTCACAATATAATGTAAATTTAATTACCGTACGTAACTCAATCAACTTTTATAATTAATTCCCGTTTATTTTTCAACAAGTTTCGTTTAAATTTGTTTAAATTGTTTTATCGTATTTATTATGTTTATACTTTAATGAATCTTTTATAATAATTAAAACAAGTTAATGTAATTTTGTCGTTTAAAGATCTGTTGTAGTCGTGATTATAGTTTTATTCTTGTTAAGTTTTCTTATTTAAATACCAAAAGAAAAACATGGATTTATAATAATTAAATTAGTTTATTTCTTATTATTTTTTTCTGCATTTCTAAGTAGGTGTGTACAACTAATGTGAAAGTTTGTGAGTATGTTACTCTTTTTGATGTTTGTTACTCTTTCACGCCAGAACAGCTGAAGTCTAAACGGATCTGGATGAAATTTGGCACAGAGATAGATTATAGTCTGGAATAACACATAGGCACTTTTTATCTCGAAAAAAAAATGTACGGTTCCCGTGGGATAGATTTGTTTTTGTTTTGTTAATCTATACTAATATTATACGAGATAAAATTTTTAAATTGTGAGTTTGTGACGTTGTAGGGGGTAATCTCCAGAACTACTGAATCGATTTAGATGAAATTTGGTAAGAAGATAGTTTGAGACCTTGGGAGGGACATAGGATACTTTTTATCTCGGAAATCATCCATTAAAGGGGTGAAAATAGGGATGAAAGTTTGTACGGGGAATCAACTTAGGGACGAACCCGAGCGAAGCAAGGGTGAGTCGCTAGTACTTAATATAATTTGGTTTTTAGACGGTTTTAAATAAACTATAAATATTTAAAAAGCTAAAATTAACTATAAATATTTAAAAAGCTCGATTAAATAGTAATTATAATGGAAAATGATGAATAGTGTCACTATGAAGTTCATATATTTCATATCAACTTTTTTTAAACAAGTAGGTTAAACATATAGGTATAGCAAAACATAACACGTAACAGTCCGTGTAATAATTTACCTCTCAATCTCAATAATAGCTTTTTTTGTAGTCGGTATTTGTATACAATTATAATATATGCAGTACTTTATCATATATTTTTTGTGTTTCCAATTAGCTAAATTAAAACCTCTCGGAGTCCAAAATGAAATTGACTTCCCTTTCAATTGGTATCGGGACGCGTCCCTTGATCCTATGTAGATTACGGTCTGCGAGGGACGCCGGACGGTACGTAATGATATGGGTCGTACCTGCGGCGGGTCCTTCAGATGGATATCTGCTTCAATTCTGTCACAAACATTACTGTATCGTGTATACTGCGGAACAAAGCTATGGATGGATTAGAAATATGTTTTTTGGATTAATATTTTAGATTGTTTAGGTTCAAGGATACTTGTAGTGGTATTGTATCTGAATGAAACGTATCAAGATAGAATGGTTCTTAGTTTTTTTTTTTTTTAATTTTAATATTTTTATCAATAGTTTTTGCGAATTCACTATAATTTCAATAGTTATATTATAATAAGATATGATGTGCTTCACATTATTAATATGTAGAATCAATTTTAAATAAAAACAAATAGGCACACTGATTATTTACACAAAGCTTTGTTTCATTCAAGTCATAGTATCAATCATGAGAGTCTACTCAGTCTAGGCGTGTTCAATATACCAAACATAACTACAAAATCAAACAGACAGACATATTTTCTTTTACACGCATAATATTACATACAACAGTTTAAAAGGTACTAGAAGATATTTAGAATAATTTGTAAGAGACAACGAAAATTAATAAGCAGCCTACAATATATTGTTTACCATTAATCGTTCGTAAATTGTGCTGGCATTTTGAAGAATTATTAAACTTAAATTGGGGAATATTTAATGGGCGAACCCAATTTTGATGGTTGAAATGCTTTAAGCATAGCTTTAAATTATTTACCTGCTCTGGAATATTTATGAAGAAGGAAATTAAGGTACGTACATGTATATTGTATAATCTGTTAGATAACTAGTTTATGTTTGCTTCGTAAACGTCTGAATAGTCTTTAAGATAATTAATACGAAAAACAAACTTTTTATATATCAATACTTCAATATATATAGTTTTATTAATATATTTTTTCAATTTAACTGAAAGTCTTGAAACACAACTTTTATTGGAAATACACTAATTACATAAACGTAACACAATATAAGATATTAACAAATGAGTACTGACAAGTCTTTAAATTCTCACTGAAATGATGACAGATACAAAACAGAAATAAGCAATTTCCCGCTAAAAGCTTCGTTAGCGCGGGAAACTCGTCTTCGCATTCCATCGAAATATTTACAGTGTGCCACCATAACAAATTAATATTGTTACAAATTGCCAACTTAAGAGATTGACATTGTTTCTCGCCTTATCAATTTGGGCAAAATTTGGGATCGATTTAAATTAATAAAAATCGAATCGAGGTATAAACGGGAATATAAGCTATTTTAAAGTTTATATTTTTTTCACACAAGTAATAATATAGGATATACTTAATAATTGAATAACATTATTTTTTATTGTAATCTATACTTATTATAAAATAAGTTTGAAGAGGTCGCAAAAAATCTCGCCAAATGGGAACCTTACAATAACCACTTTTATGTTAACATTTTTAATTAAAAACATTACGTTATTTTCAAAGGGCGATGTAGCGCGCGATCCTAGGATACTTTTTACCGCGGGAAAATATCTTATTTCTGAGGAAATACAAAAACTGCAATGTAAGAGTATACTAATATGTAACTATTATTATATTTTTATTGCATTTCTCATATTCTTAATAAGTAATCCAATGAAAACATTGTAAGTTAGTGTTTATGTAAGTTTCTTTTGCTTGTTAAATATGCAAGTAAATACGCAGAACCAAGTTATTAGATAAATAATTTCAAAATTATTTCAACGGAATATAGTAAAATAAATTAAATAAGATTAAGGCGCGTATTTCTGAAGGACACCTACATATGTACACACTACACAGTGGTTTTGACATAGGACGAGCTTATCGTGACAAGTGTTTAGTGCCCTCAGCTAGAGGTCCG